GAACTCATCAAATTAGAACTTACTCTTGATATACCAATCACCAAATAAAATTTTCTCTCATCAATCAATACATTAATCACAAACTTGTTACAAATCAAAGCTTGTCTTTGTGATAAAAGATCTTACAAGCTTGATAACTAAAAATTTCTCAAATTAATAATGCAATTCAAGAAAATATCAAACAGTTTGACAGTCATTATATCAAAATGCTATCCAACATTCTAGAAAAATAAAAGTGCTAAATAATCATCAACAAAATTATCACTTCATCTGGAATATCAAATCACCCTAAAGTTATCAAAGAATCAATCAAATAACATTTTACTAATTGGACTCACCAATATATCATTATAATATAGTCAAATCAAGAATGGCAATAACAATATAATTTAATCTCACACATTCCAGATAATGTATTCAATTCAGTTTCAAATCCAATTTCAAAAGAAGAATTCCAACACATGCTTATCAATACTAACTCATTCAAATCATCTAGATCTTTAGGCATACAATATATTCTATTAAAAAAAGCAACTCTATCCTTTCATTCTCTTCTCCTTTCTCTTTATAACAAATGTTTAACAGAAAAAGACATACCTTCAGAATAAAAGCACTTTAACATAATACTCATCCTGAAACTATGTGAATAAGAGGACAATCTTGACTTAACACATCTAATCATACTAATTGAAATAGCTTGTAAAGATCTTTCATCAATTCTGATATATCACATCTTCATAATCTGCAAATAACTTAATATTCTTCAAGAAAACAATTTCTCAGTACTCAAAGACATATCTACTATCAGTTCTATTCATATTATAAATAGTATACTTAAAGACTTACATAAAAAACATCAGGAAATCTGATATATCTTCCAAGATATGCATTATGCCTATGACTTTATCAGTTAGCATATGCTAGAACTAGTTCTACAATATATCAAAATAAACTCTACTTATATCACACTTTGTAAAAATATTCACACAATGCGTCAAAACCAAATTATAACTGAATATGAACTTACCATATCTTATCTTATTCTAGATGGTCTTGATCAAGATGAAGTTAATGCACCCATATTATGATAGATCTTTTATGATCTCTTGCTATGTCAAATAAAAGCATGATATTCATCACAAGGATACATCATAACATCCAAGCTAACATCCACTCCTAATCAAATATCTTATTAAACTCACCTAACAATCAATAATTTAGTCTTCGTTGATGATATAGTCTGAATTGCTAATAGTCATTAAGTAATGCAACAGATTCTTAATACTACATCCCAATTCTATAACATGTGCAATATTAAAATCAACCCAAAGAAAACAGAAACAATTTACTACAAATTAACTGAAATACATCCTAACATAGAGCTTTATATTAGAACAACTAGCAACCAAATACAAATACTTCCTTCAAATATCTATACTAAATATCTTGGTCTATACATCAATACAAATAGTAATTTCAACACTTAGCTAAACAAAATAAGATCAGATATCATACTTATATCTAACTTACTAAGTTGCAAATGTATTATCAATAAATAAGTTATCTATATTATCAATCGGATACTTATTCTAGCATTTGAATACTGCTTCTAACTCTTTATTGTATTTAAAACTGAATGTGACAAACTAATGAGACAACTAAAAAAAGTTGTCAAATTCAAAGCAAGATTATCATTATCTTTTTCTGACTCAGTTTTACATCATCCAAAATTTTTCACTCTAGATTACTTGTGATCTATCCAAACCCATGCAAAAATCACAGAGCTCTTCTACTATCTAAATGATTTTCTTATTCTTGACCTAGTAACATATATTCATTTATAATACCTCCAAGAACAAAGATGGCTTCATCACTCAATAATCTCATATCCCATACCAGAATCATCACCACAAGGAAAAAACTTAATAGTATCTATTCTTTCACTCATATATAAATATAATATTTCCTTTACTAACTCAAATACCAACAGTCATATCCTCATACAAGATAGCCCATTGAAAACTTTCTCCAATCCTGGCCAATATACAAAAAATGTCATGATATCTTACACAAAGATCACATTATATCCCTACAATAACTATTTAGTTATGTCAATTCTCATCTTATAATATGGAAATAATACAAGAGTTAATTCCAAAATAGTAAACATGGCTCCAAATCTCTATGGTACAATCAACTAGAAAATACTGTTCTTAATAACTTTGCATTATCTACTCGTATCATCACAAACAAAATAGACAAATAGCAACAACCTCTACTCCAAAGTGAATTACTACTAATTGATAAACATTTAACAGCATCACCTGAAACTAATACCTGGTTTTCCACTAAAGAAAATCTTTTTCACCTTAACAATATAGACATTTTCACTGATGGCTCCATTCAACAAATGCATATATTATACGTAAAATCTAGTTTAGCCTGGATAACATGGCCTCCAAATATCTCTTTTGCTCATTACTTTCTCATAATCTTCTTAACAACTACATCAGAAATACAAGCTATCTGATTATAATTTTAATAAGTGAACACTTTGAGTCTGGCATACTATATTACAAAATATTAGACATATTGATATTATTCTCTTTAACAAATATAAATTAATAATAAGTAAATATTAATATTTTGTTAATATATTAAAAAATATTATTAATCATATCTTTGTAATATATAACTAGAATTTTGAATTCATACTCTCAATCTAGAAGCCGATCAAGAAATTCTTATAAACTTATATAATTTTAATTTGCTAAATATTATTCTTGATATAAGTTATACAAAGGGTCCATTAATTGGAAGAGCAAAAGTTTTTAAGACTATATGTAATAATAGCGTTATTAAATAAGTTAAAATTTTTATATTAAGGCCAACTCTAAAACGAAATTTTATACACATTGTCATAGTTCTTTCATTCATAAAAAAGATTTGATTTTAAATTAAGTTCTGGTTTGTGTATTTTAATTGTAGGTACTGCTCTAGGAAGAAAATACTTGTCAGGATTCATTTAAAGACGAATTCTTATAAAAAATCACACGAAAAAAATTTTCTATAGTCATAAACCACATTAAAGAGTGAATATATTACCGCATTATGGTTCACTATGGACTGAACCCTCTTCACTCTGCTAAGTTTTTGTAAATATAAGTATATTATATACATATTTAAGATTTTATACAGGCCCTATGATATTAACCAAGATATGACATTTCCCTTATACTATGGACACAAAAATAGAATTTTAATTCCATATCGATATTTCTATCTATCTTGCAATAAAGCAGTACAGAAATCACATACTAAAAACATGTAATGATAATAAAATTAAATCTTGTAAGATTTGTGATTTTTACTATAGTCACTTTCAATTGTAAGCTAATGAAATTATTCTCGATAAAAGACTTCCATGCGCTCGTTGCGACGGTTTAATGTATTTTTCTTTTTCCGTTTTTGAGTTCTTCGAGAACTTTATTGTTATAATTGTTGGGGTCGGCGCTCTTCTTCGGATATGAAATGATTCAAGTAGTCTGTATGTGAGTCATTGAAAGAAGCTATTGCACTTTGTCTTAGGATTTGTGCAAACTAAACAGTAATATTGATTATTGTCTGTTGTTCTTTTTTCAGGTCGTCAATTCTCTTTTGATAGGTTGATATAACCTCTTTCTTATTCTCTCGAAAAGACCGTTTTTCCTTGATCTCCTTTTCGACACAACTATCCCGGTTCGAGGATATCCTAGCTGTATTGGTTCAAGATCAATCTGTTCAATATATAACCTATCTTCAAGCTGCCCTATGGTTTGAGTAGAATTTACAATCTCCTTTTGTTGGTCTCGGATCATACTAATTTTCATCTGGATGAGTTGTCCCATCTCTGCAAGAGGCTTAGAAAGAAGTATCACGATATTTCTCGTGTTGTTAAGCGATAAAGTATCTTTTACTTTATGAGATGTACGCGTCGCAAGCTGTTTGAGAAGTCTTAATGGTTCTTCCACTGATCATTTCCAGCTCTGCGAAACATATTTAGTCTTCTTCTGTAAAAGTTATTCCATTTTTGATTGTTGCTAGAAATCGAAATGATTCGTTATCAAAACAGTAAACTGTATCTTTGTTGATTTTTTAGATTTTTCCTTGATAATGGAGTGTTGATTTTATTGTATCTCTTCGACGATAAAATGTTGATCTAGCATTGGTAAAGCAGAAGACAATATTGTTCTTGGCATTCCTATGAATAATTCTTGTATGTAATACAGTGGCTCACAAAAGAAATGCAACACGAAAAGTTTTACAAAAAGAAATTCTAGTGACTCTAACATCGATTCAGAATACCTAGTTCCTATACTCATTTTAAAGCTAATAACTAGAGAATATTTTAAAAATCCTAAAAAAGAAATTGGGCGATCTACATGAATATTTTTAATTAGTGAAATTTTAACTCTAAATAGTTTTGTTACCAGGGAGGATTGATGCGGATTGATCTAATAAAAAATGTGCTTCTTAGGGAGAACTAGTGATATACCAATTTTCAGCTAAATTGGTACCAAATTCGTTGAGTTATTTGATCCCGAAGTACCAGATGAATGCTAGTAAAATAATCCATCGATTTTTTCTGCAAGCATATCTAATACTTCGGTAGCAAATATCTCAACATATTTGGTACCAATTTAGCTAAAGATTGTTATATGGATAGTTCTCCCTAAGAAGCACGTTTTTTATTAGATCAATCCGCATCAATCCTCCCTGGTAACAAAACTATTTGGAGTTAAAATTTCACTAACTAAAAATATTCATGTAGATCGCCCAATTTCTTTAGAATGGCAGCATTAATATAGTTTTTAGGATTTTTAAAATATTCTCTAGGTTATTAGCTTTAAAATGAGTATAGGAACTAGGTATTCTGCATCGATGTTAGAGTCACTAGAATTTCTTTTCATAAAATTTTTTCGTGTTGCATTTCTTCTGTGAGCTACTGTACTAAACATTACATTCAATCGTGCGTTATTAGGCTTAAGGAGAATACAGATTCTATTCAGGTGCTTGTGTTGGCTAATATATTTTAGAATGTTTTCGAAATTCTTCTTTTCTTGGTCGATTCCTCTAGCGTCACCGATTCCAGGGGTATCGATCAATCTTAAGGATGTGTTTTTGTCTGCATGAAACACATAGCTTTTGCATCCTTGAGCAGCTGACATGCCTGTGTTTTGTTTGTCATTTGGATCGTTGTTAACCATTTTTTATTGTTCTCATGTTGAACTCATCATCCATTAATGTGAATTTTGACGTGATCAGTACCGCCACATCTTCAGAATTTGCATCCTTTAACGTATTGAATTTAAGATAATTCACGAAAGCGTTTATAAATGTGGCTTTCCCTCCCCGAGCAATAATATATTTATTTCTTTTTTCAATGCTGACAGCAACACAATGGAAGTATGATGGTTGCCAGAGTTTAAATAAGCTAAAAGGTTCAGTCGGTTGCTTTCGTCATGTATAATGGAAGCTTCTTGAACAATCATTTGCCAGTTGAACAGAAATATTGAAAGCAAGTTTTAGCCTATAAAGGAACAAAATGAATATCATTCTGCTTTCAATTAAAGAAAAGAAAATCGCGCGACTATGTCATTGTTATCATTATCATTCCCGAAGGTTTCAATAAAAGAAACAAAGCGAATACTATTTCTGATTTCAATTAAAAAAAGAAAATCGCACGACTATGTTATCGTTATCATTATCATTCCCCGAAGCGCTTCAATAAAATGGGATAATGATAACGATTACAATAATGAAAACGATTTATACTACAATAACGTAATCATTAACCAACAATAATCATAATACATGTAACCCTCGGTATTAATATACATGTGTCAATATCCTTTAATGGTACGATTATTGTAATAGCTGTCTTTTACCATAGTAAATAATTGAACGACTCATTCTATAATTATTATCATAATTATTGTAGTTGCAGCAGCTTCGACGACGTCCAGAATAATGCTTTTGTCCATAATTAATTATTCCCTATTATGTCAACGATAATCAATTGTTCCAAAAATGGTATCGATAATATCCCTTAAAGAATTTTAGGAATTACCGTTACGCAATTTAATGTTGTTACGGTAACAATATAGGAAGTACTCTACAAATTTCTTGCTTAGATTTTTCCATATCTACTGAAATGATAAGTCCAAATTCAGCAATTAGAGCCGTCCTGCGCATTAATAATATCTTTCCGGATGAAAGTCATAATGAGCAGAAAAGTCAATTTTTCGTAGTTGATATTAATATATTTCATATATGTATGCAACGGGGTTCCTTAAAGCAAGGCAAGCAGTTTAGCCGGTTTAGCCACAGACCGCCACAAGAGATCGGTAATACATGACCCCAAACAAACATAGCCAATCAAAATTATACATATAGTATATGATATATGTCTTTGTTATCTTCTTTGTAACTATGAAAAACATCCTTTGGATGTTAATTATGTTAAATGTAATTTTGCTTTCTTTCTAACATTACCTTTGCATTCTCCTTTACATTATTTTCACATTATTGTGCTTATAAGGAGCAATACTTTAACAAGATTCTTAGGCATTATTTTTTCAAAATAAAATTTTAATTCTGTCTTATTTAATTAAGTTATTAGATATTGAGATTTATTTAAATATAA